ATGTCATTGGAATTTTGATGAAGATTCCATTGAACTCTCAGATTATTTTTGGTGATAGAGCCATTTTCACAATATTCTGCCAATACAGGAGCAGGGAAAGTCATTCCACTGTATACTATTATCCTTAGTTCCTTTTCCCAGTCTCCTGGCAAGTTTATTCCTGTGTTTTGTTTGGTTTGGGTTTTTTGAGGTATTGTTAATATGTTAGTTTTTCAATTTCTTTCTCAGCGTTTGTTTGGTATGTATGAATGCCACTGATCTTTTGTTTGGTTTGGTTTAGTTTGGGTTTGGGTTTTTTGAGACAGGTTCTCACTGTATATCTACGGCTGGGATGGAACTTATTATATAGTCCAGGCTGGCCTAAACTCACAGAGACCCACCTGCCTCTGCTTCCCAAGTGCTGAAATTAAAGCTGTGTAGCACTACATCTGACCAAACACCACTGATTTTTGTATGTTGATTTAGGATCCTGAAACTTTTTACTGAAAGTTTCAGATTTTTAATTGTTTAAGAGTTATCTCATAAATTTGTAGAATCTTTTAAATATAGAATCATGTTATTTACAAAGAGGGATACTTCAAATTATTTCTTTCCTATCTTCATTCTTTTACATCTGTGTCTTGTCTTATTTCTCTAAGACTTCAATTTCGAGCACTATATTAAGGGAGAGGAGTCTTAATATCCACCTGTAGAAGAAAGAAATGAGCTGCATATCTTTCACCCTATACAAATATCGATTCAAAATAAATCAAAGATTTTAATTTAAAGCCTGAAATGCTGAAAGTACTGGAGACACGGAGAATTCACTTCAAGTTATAGGAATAGGTAACAGGACTTGAGCAGCACAGGAAGTGTTCGAAGAGAATTAACAAACAGGACTTCATGAAATGAAACACTTTCTGGCCAGCAAACAATCAATAAAGCAGACTGCCTATAGAATGGGAGAAAAAAATGCCAAGTATACTTCAAACAAGAGATTAATACCTAGAATATAACTTAAAAAATTACACCTTCACCAAAACAAAACAAGCAAGCAAGCAAACAAACAAAAACATGTTCAACATGGTTAGCCATCAGGGAAATGCAATTAAAAACTACTCTGAGGTTCTACCTCCCCCTCTCAGAATAGCTACCATAAAGAGAAGACACAACATCCAATGCTGGGGAGAACATGGGAAAAGCGGAACTCCTATTCCCTGCTAGCAGAAGTGTAAACAAATGTAGCCATTATGGAAATCAGTATGGATATTTCCATAAAAAAATAGAGAGAGCCATATGACCCAGCTATACCATGCCTGGGCATAGATACCAAGGACTCTATAGTCTGCCACAGAGACATTTGCACATTCCTGTCTAATACTGCCTTACTTAAACAGCTGGGAAATGATAGCAGCCTAGCTATCCATAACAGAGGAGTGGATAATAAAAATGTAGTATACATACACAACATCACTTTACTCATCTGTAAAGAAAAATGAAATCATTTGCAGGGAATGGATCGATCTAGAAAATATATTGTAAGCAAGGTAACACAGACTGAGAAAGACAATATTGTCTTTCATATGTGATTCATAGCTTATAATGTCTCTGGATACAAGTGGGAGGTCTGAGGTCAATGTGGGTACAGGTTATGAAACTAGTACGGAGACCACTAGAGGAGAGCATAGAGGTTGAGGAAAGGTGGGAGGCAGCAAGACAGGCAACATCAAAAGGAAAAAGGGAAAGAGGCTGTGGAAGATGACGAGGGTGTGACCCCAGGCACGGGGGAGATGACAGAGGAGGCGAATAAATACATATACGTGTAAGTTTTGTGTGGGAAAAAAAATGTTATAATTAAACCCAGTATCCTAATTTTAAAACTTTTAAATAAAAAAAATTGAAATTTATTTAGATGGAAACACAAAATAAAGACAGGCAAAAATAGTCACAAACCATGCATTCAGGAGAGGACTAGTATCTAGAATCCATATACATTTTCAAAATTCAACATTGAAAAAAAACAAAGAATTTAATTATAAAATAAGCCAAATCCATGAAAGAAGGTTGGTTTTTTTTTTTTAAAAAACTGAGAAAGATAAATAAATGGAAAATACGTTCATGAAAAGGTAGCTCTCAACATTAGTTACTAAATAAAGGAGAATTAAAAGCATAAAGTGGCTGGAGAGATGACTCAGTCATTAGAGTGCTTGGTACACAAACACTAGGACCTGAGTTTGGGTCTTTGGCACCTACATGGTAATAGAAAGCTGGGCATGCAAGCCTGCAAGCCTAGCTCTGGGGAAGCGGAGACAGGAGGGTGCCTGTGTCTTGCTAGCTAGCCCCTCCAGCTGAACTGAAGAGCTCCAGGTTCAGTGAGAGATGCTATATCCCAAAACAAAAGGGGATAACTTCCAAGGAATTATCCCCACACTTGATCTCTGCCTTCCACACACATGCCTGCCACCAAGCCTGCCAACCCGAGTTTGAAGCCTGGAACCCACATGGTTGAAAGCGAGAACCAACTCCTGCAAGTTGTCCTCTGACCTACACGTGTGTGCCGTGGCACTTGAATGTCCACACACAGGCAAACTAAACAACAACAACAAAAAATGTAATTAGATTTTTTCCCCCAAAATAACAGTCAAGTACAAGGCAGCATTTCTACACTTCCAAAAGATACCAATTCTCAAGAGTGGCAATGAACTAAGTCACTAAGGATGAAAAGATCTTATAAACCTGTGAGTGGGCCTAAACGTGGCAAACGAGTGCATAAATTATACACGAGTTATCAGTCACAGGGGAAGAGGGGGAAGTTGGGTTACTATTCACGGCTCCTTGCAGACAAATGCAGAGGTTGCCTCTGACAGCAGAATGAGCTGCCAGTTGATTGAATCATGACATGACAGTCCCCTGACAAGTAAAGTAGTACCACCTACTCAACTGAAGATTGGATGGAAGTTTAATGAGGTAGAAATCATCAGGACCAAGAGACAATTATCAGGAAGGCTCGGGAAAATGGGGATTCTACATAAGTAGGATATGAAGCACAATGCAATCAGGTCCCACTGGAAGCAGCTGTAGTGAAGGTGCAGGGCAGGGACCACAGCACAATGAAGTCTGGAACTAGCAGTGATGGGGGTGGTTGTGAGGGAAAAGGGCTATCTGGGGTACAGCCATAGCAACTGAGTTGATTCCTACCTGATACCAGTATTAGTGGTGGTCGGAACATTGGCGCTGGACTGGCAAGGATCATAGAAAAGCTGGAGCAGCCAGGAACTTGTTCATTAAATATTTTATCAACCCTTTCTCCTGTATCAACTGTTTCAGGCATTGTGTTGGGAGGATAAATAAACTAACAAGTACCCATCATATATCTAATTTGGTAACAAGTTCAGGAGTACAAAGGTTACTATATCATGATCCCCACTCTTCAAGGAGTCAGAATGAGCTGAGTAGCCGATATAAGAACAAATAACTATGGTGATACGGTATTAGTGGGAAAGAAACATAAACTGTCATCTGATGGTGTAGTCATTTTGCTGGTGCTATAAAAGATCCCCAAGACCCACATGGCTGAAAGACAGCAGTGACTCCCAAAGGTTCCTACCATGATCCACAGCATGGATGCACCCATACACACACATACACAACATAAATAAAGGGGAAAACTTTCAAATATGTTTTAGTTCCAATGGCTTATGCAAACTGGGAACCTGTAATCCTCCAAGATATCACAGAAATATGTGAAGTTATAGGGGGAGAATCCTTTTGTTGTTGTTCTGAAAAAGCCAAGATTATTTACAGGGCAAGAGATTCTTCTTTTGAAGTTCTGGGACCAGCACAGTACCCGCAGCGATCTCTATTTGATCAATTCCATTACACTACCACTTTTAGTTTGTTGCTAGTAAAACATTTCACTGGTGCAAGAAAAAAGGCACAGTCCTTAAGTTTCAGATGGGGCCATCCTAATTTAATTAGCCCATGTTGGCACATCTCCTTTGCATATTCATGTAATGCTGTTATGTTGTGGTACCTAAAAGCCAAATGACCACCTATAATTTTTTTTTTGACACAGGGGTGTGCAAACCTGAAATGAAGAGCCATAGTCTGTAATATTTATTTATTCATGCTTGTCTTTTCTTCTTGAAAATAATGTGAATTCCAAACACCTTGCAATGTAATGTTCATCTTTTGAGACCTGACCCAGAGTTCATGAAAGAAAACAGATGTGACAAAGTTATTACAGATAAAAGAGTTGAATTAAAATATACTCTGGAAACGAGGGAGGAAGGTATAAGAAAGCTATTTCAAATAAGTGAGCAAACCAGAGTTCTGTGACAGGTACATGCGTTCCAGGGAAGGTTCTACCGGCTAGGACGTCAGGTGGAATTCCGCTTAAGACACAGACGTAAAGATGACTGGATCCAGGGCCCTCGAAGAAAGTCTCTACTCCGAAAGCTTCCTAACAGACGCATCGCCTTTATAACTCCTGCAGCCGGAGCACACAGGCACCCTCAGGTCACTTCCATCAGTCGACCTCCCTTTCTCCGTTCCCATCTAGCCTTTGCCCTCTGCCCTTGCCCCGGTCACTATAAACCACAGTCTGGATCCTGCAGCGAGATGAAGCCGGGTTGCACCGCACAGTGTTCTCACCTTTTCCTCACACATAGCCACAACCTCCACACGGGTCCCCAAACCCACCCATCAACTGGGCGGCCGCCCCCCCCCCCCCCCCCCCCGCCGGCCCATGACCTCCACAGTTCTTCTGCACTCCCGCCCCACTGGCAACGCTCCTGGGAGCTGTCCCTCTGCTGATCCCCGCGCGCCCCGATCTCGCCGTGTGCAGCCCCCCTCCTCGCTCCACTGGCGACAGTGCCACCCGTCCTTCCATCCTGGAGGAGGAGGAGGAGAGGTCAGCTGCCACCTAGGGCCTCCCAAGGGATTGTAAGCACACGGGAAAAGCGACCCAGAGCGCCCGGCTCCGACCCGGCCTTCTGACCCCGGAAGTGATTCTCCCCTACCCGCTCGAGAGGGGCGGGCACAGCCGCGGGTCTAGCCCGGCATGCCCTGGGCTTCCGGTGACCTCTGGCCCTTCTCTGTCGTCCGCTCGTGCTGCCTGGCGTGCTCGCTCGCGCGTTGCTTTCTTCCCCGCTCCCGGCTTCCTCCCCACGCTGCCCGGTGACCGTGGCGCCCGCGACCGGCGCGGCGGCGGCGGCGGACAGTCGTCATGGCCGCCTCTAAGCCCATGGAGGCGGCGATGGCGGCGGCGGCTGCGCCCGGTTCTGGAAATGGAGTGGGCGGTGGCAGCGGGACTGCGGGCCCCGGCTCGGGTTCGGGGACCCTGCCGCGATGGCACGTGGCTCTGGCCATCGGGGCGCCCCTGTTGCTGGGTGCCGGGGCCATGTACCTGTGGAGCCGAAGGCGGAGGCGCAAGGAGGCGGGAGGCCGGGGCGACGCCAGCGGCCTGAAGCGCAACAGCGAACGGAAGACCCCGGAGGGCAGGGCCAGTCCGGCCCTGGGCAGCGGCCACCCCGACGGTTCTGGTGACACCCTGGAAATGGTGAGAAGCCTCCCGGGCCGCAGAGGTGGAAACGAGCGGATGCAGCTTTTCCTTGACCCGTTATGCGGGTGAGGGGCCCTCCCACCGGTCGGAAACTGCCGAGTGGCCGCAGAGGACCTGAGAGTCGTTCCTGGTTGCCTTTATAGGGAGTGGAGTAGCAGCTCCTGGCAGGCTAGCTTAGAGATTTTTCTTGAACCATTTCCTTTGGGATCCAGCAGGATCTTTGCGTTTCTTCTCAGTGACACAGCATTTATCCCTAGTGGTGTAGGTATGGGAAACACGTACCAATATAATAATTCTATTAAGCGAAGAAAGGTAAATTTCACGAGCGATTGGAGTTGTGACGTGATTTGTTCCTGTGATTCCCAAGGCCAGAACTTACTAAGAACCGTTTAATAACTAACTAACGAGCCATTCCTCTTTTGGAAGGGGGAGTTGAGCAGCTACGGGACAAAATTGGAAAAATTCGTTAGGTAGCTTTGTATATAGGAAATAAGCCAGTTTCTAAGGAGTAAAGTAGTGATCCCCCCCCCCCCCACACACACACACGCACATACTTGGGCTGAAAGCATCTTAAAATTTTCTATTTCACTTGCATGTATACATGTGTCCAAGCCTGATATGTCTGGTAAAGAGTCTCTGGTGTTAGAACAAGCATTGGAGTGATGAATTGCTTTGATCTGGTGATCTATTAAATCTTTTTGACAAATCTGACATCTGTGCGGAGAATTGGCATGGCCTGAGATTGAGTGAGGTAAGGGACTTTATCTGGATCTGGAGTTATATGGTGGTATTACCAGAGTAAATCGAGTTCAGAGAGACTTACCAGTAATAATTCAGTAAATTCTTTATACACGTGCAACCTATATACACTTATGGTCCTGAGAAAAATTGTGTACAGTTAAATGAATGACAGTCATTTTCATTCTACCCTGACTGAAGACCCATTTTATTGATTTTATTGTTTTAGTCAGTAGCTTCGGGAGAAGTTTTGATACATGACTATAGCGGTAGTGCTTACCGTGTGTGACTCACTGTACGAGTCCCGAAAGAAAGCCGCTTGCTCTCTCCTATGGGGAAATAGTCTATTTCTAACTGGAAATTACTATGTTGGAGGGAACCGTGATCTTTAAGAACTGAGATGTCATTCGAGATTGGCCTGTGGAGCGTTGGTGAGCCCACTTTATCTCACTGGCGTCCTAGTAGGCTAGGAGGATTAAAATATTAAGCCCCTTCTATTTCATCCAGCACTAACAATGTTAAACCAAAGTTGTAACATTTAGGATGAAAGCCTGGGCACTGGCTGTGCAAACTGTGCTGGACTACCAACCCCAAGAAGCCAGTTTCAGAGATAAGTAATGGTAAAAAGCAGAGGTTTATTTAGTGTGGCCGCCTGGAAAGAGGGACAGGTAGAAGATTCCAGTAACCCCCAAGTTTGTCTTTAGGCTGCTCACAAGAACTTAAGGTTTAAGAAGAGAAAGAATCAGGCCAGAGATATGTATAGTTAAGCAGCTCTGGTCAAGAAGTGATATGGTTGACCTTTGTCTCCAATCTGATCCTGCAAGGGGAGTTGGGAGGGCTGGGTGAAGGGCTCCTAAGAGGATTAATTTGGTTCCTTCAAGATGATTACTGTGTTCCAGGATGTGGACTCCAGGATAATTACCCTCATCTGAAGGGTGCTCTGCTCTCTGAAGTTTTGTTCTTACTGGAGTCCAAGGTGACTTGAGGAAAAAGGTTAAGGACAATGAAACCGCTGCCTTTAGTTAGACTGAATGTGACAGACACAAAATGAATGCTGGGATGTTAGACTTTTATTTTTTTGGGCCAAAGTGAAGTTGCAAGCATATTTTTAGCAAAGGCCTCTTCTAAGTGCTTGTTTCTGGTATCCTTTTACTGTTGATTTGGAAAGAATTAGTAAATTCTCTTTCAGAATTTAGATTTTTTAATTCTCTTTTCAGTTTTGCAGCATTGTCTACAGCCAATGATGTTCATATTTTATAAGTGGTTTATAGTTGATTTTTTTTTTTTTTTTTTTTGGTTTTTTCGAGACAGGGTTTCTCTGTGTAGCTTTGCGCCTTTTCCTGGAACTCACTTGGTAGCCCAGGCTGGCCTCGAACTCACAGAGATCCTCCTGGCTCTGCCTCCCAAGTGCTGGGATTAAAGGCGTGCGCCACCACCGCCTGGCTGGTTTATAGTTTTATAATGAATAATTTTGATTGACCTGACTTCTGTTGAATTCTCTGTGTAACTTGGACTGCTTTAAAATGATTATTATGTTTGCTCCAAAATAAAACTGAGCAAAACACTTGCATATACCATTTTCTTACTCCACCATGTAGAATTTAGAGATGTGTTCTTGGAATTACTGGATTATTATTTAGCAAGGCAACATTAGAAATCTTCATATTTTCTAATTGAAATGTATACTTTTAACTGTTGGTGACAATAAATATTGAAGACTATTTTTGTCTTTTAAAAATGAATTTCCTTAGTGTCATCATGAGTGTCTGAATGTAACTGACTGTTCATCCTAATTTATATATTACCTGTGGTTGAAGGACTTGCTCTGTATTTGAATAGATGAGCATTTGTTTTAGCTGAAGGAAAACTAGAAGGTTTCTAATGCTGTGTTATTTCTCCAGCTGAGAAATAACTACATTTTAAAGAGAATTAGGAATCAACAAGTATCTGTTCAGAGTTCACTATTAGAGTGAATGGAAAGCCTGTTTAGTTTTGTCTTAGGGCTTATGTTTGCCCAAATGTAAAATGAACTAGCAATATTACAGTGTTTCTGTCTATTGGATTAGATGTTTATTTGTGTGATGTGGACCATATCCAATTATCACTTTTCTGAGGTAGCAAAAACTTGGAAGAAAAATGTAAAGCTATTCATGTTGGTTTTAAGTAACTAGAATTTCAAGATATCATTAAAGAAAACATCTGATGGTTGATAGTTTCTAAGATTGAAGTAAAGTATGAAACCATATTCCATTTAAGCAGTTGTAAAATTTACCAGTGTTCCATGTTGCTCCAGTTTTTTCAGACTTGAATTACAGGTTTTCAAAATTGGAAGATTTCTTATTTTATTCATGACACTTCATGCTCTAGATTTGATCTACCTCAAAGGACTAACAAATACACACTAAACCTGGTATCCTAATGCACTAATAAATATGCATTAGTTTAAGAGCAGTGTTGATTTCATAAATTTATTGATTTCATAATAATTTTGTATTCAGTTATGCTTTAAATCCAATGATAAGAGAAAGTAGCCATTGTGATAGTCAAGATTTTTAGCCGTACAAATATTATACCACATAAAGTATTAGGGAACCACAGATCTATGCCAGAATAGTATTTAAACATGTTAGTGAAGGGTTAAGATTGTTTGCTGTCATAATCTTCCTTGAAATGAAATGATTCTCTTTTCCTAAACGATGTTTCTAGTTTATTTCTTTAGTCTTTTTTATTTTTACTTATGTGTTTGTGTGTGTACAAGTATGGTTATGTGCACCTGAGTGAAGGTGCTCCTGGAGACCAGAGGCATCAGATTCCCCTGGAGCTGAGGTTAGAGGTGTTTGTGAGCCACCTAACATGGATGCTGTCTCCTCCTCCACCACCACCATCTCTTTCTGTCTGTCTCTCTCTGATTTTTTTTTAAAGGCAATGTCTCACTGGGTAGGCCTGGCTGGCCCTCAGACTCAGAGAACTGTCTTGATTCTGCTTCCCAAGTACTAGGACTAAAGGCATACACTCTCAGGTTTAACTCTAGTCATTTTTAAAGAAATTAACATGGGTTACTTGTGACACTCCTATAATAATTAATACTTTTCTTACCATTAATAATTTATACTGCCATTTAATAACATTTTCTGTTGATGGGACACATTTTCCCTGATTTTATTTTGTTTTTTTAAAATATCACTGATTGTTAATATTCTTTCCAGTCTCTTCTACTTTTTTCCTTTTAATGACCTTCAAGGTTCTGTTGTGAGAATTCCTAATTACTCTACCAATTCCATGAACGTTAGCCATACTTCTCACAAGGTCTAACTTAAAAGGAATCTTCATTTGTCTCACAAGTATTTCAGTCTCCTCTTCTTAATTACTGTGCCTCATAAAATGTACCAAGCAGAACCTTAGGTGTCATCACTATCTCTTTTTACCACTTTTGTGTTCTCCATGTCTAATCAGAAAATAAACCAGAATATTCTACATCATGTCTTAAATACCTGACTATTCCCACTGCTGTCATTTTCCAACTGAATAGCTACTATCTTTTTTAAAAAATTTTTTATTATAGTCAGCTCTATCCATGTTTCCTTTATCCATGAATTCAACAAATGGAGGATCAAAAATATTTGGGGGTGGGAGAGAAACTTGCACAACTATTGAACATGTACAGATTATTTTCTGACCATTCCCTAGATAACAACACAGTAATGATTTACATAGCACTTACATTGTACTAGGTAATGAATAATCTAGAGATTGAAACGCAGGAGAGGACTAGACATTGTGGCATAGTTGGTAGAGTGCTTGGCTAGCTTAACTTACACAAAGCTTTGATCCCCAG